GCCTTCTCTCTTGGATGATATCCTCTCCTCTACTGGGAATGCATGGGTGAATATCTGGGCGTATACCTAGCTTGATGGGTCCACGAGTGTGGTCGGTATACCCGTGTGCCGAAGGCCTGGCAAGTGCCTATGACCTCACTCTTGCGCTAAGGGCACCATGGCCGACTGGTGCAGGTGTTCGCCCGATAGCTTACCTTTGCTGTCTCAGTCAGGAATGCACCCTCTTGTTCCTGGATTATCATTCTCTGCCGAAACACTTGTCTATTCACGTTCATTCACCCCAAAATCCTCCCCTTATTCGATGGGTATGCTAGTCCCTTGGTCCAGCCCCTTGTTGTTCCTCTTTTTCTTCCACTTTTTTTCTATTTACTGTCAATAATTGTCTTGAGTTAGCGTACTGATTAGCCGGCGCGTCTATAGGGACGTATAAATAAATGAATAAATAAATATGTAAAACATCCTAGCTCCAGAGCTGAGCAGAAGGAAAGGCGCTGCATGAGGAGCATTTAAGAATTTCTAGGTAGTTTAATAAGGCAAAGAACATTCGGCTACGCGCTCGCCTTCTCGATACCACTGACCTTCCTGCTCTGATGTACACCTCGGAAACTTGGATTTTACGAAGCAGGATGAACATGCGGTCAGCGTCGCTCAACGCACTTTGGGAGGAAGATGCTAGAAACTCTCTTATACATGCAAGTGCAGAAGGAAGGTCGGAGTTCCAGCACCGTCAACAAACAAAGACCGAGGATGCCTTTGCTTACGCCAGAAATCGAAGATAAGGTGAGCAGGAAACCATATGCGATATCGTGGTGACCGTTGGACCAAGGCGGTTACTGTTTGGATCCCTTGAGCCACTAAACAAACACCAGGACAAGCGCCAGCACGATTTTCAGATTCCCTAACGAAGGCTCCGAACGAAGGGAATGCTGTGCTTCGTGTCCCTCAAGCAAGGACGACCCACTGGATTACTCTGGCTCACGACAGGGACGAATGGAGATGTTTGTCGCCCGCTCGACGATATCGATGACCGACGAAGGTGATATATGTCACAGGTGATAATGGGAGTGGCTATAGAAGCGTTCGAAAAGCGGAAGATTGGCTATGATTCAGATGAAAAAGAAACCATCGTCGGAAAGATAAGAAAGGCTTCGAAAACTGTAAAAATGAGAAGGAAGGATCTCGTGAAGATAATTAGAGTCAAGACCATGGAGACCAACGTGTTCCCTTATTGTGTTTTTAGAACCTAAGGTTAAGCGAAACACGGTAGTTCGGGAGGAACACATGAAATAAGAATATCACAACTTATAGTAGTACTCATCGAAACCAAAAACTGATTTCGATGAGTACCATCATAAGTTGAACTTAGAAGGGAGCAATGGCTACTAAGGTTCAATGCAGCTTGGAAGCTGAAATAAGTTCCTGAATCAATACCTTATAAATCTTGCTACGAATTTGTTTCCTACCAAAATCTGCTAATTTTGGGAATTTCTTACGAAAACTTTGTCGGAACGTTCCTAGATGTTCCATTTCGCGCGCTTAAAGTCCACGTTGCAGGAATAGGACGGCTGCTCTAAGAAAAGGGGTAAATGTGAAGACACAAGTAGAAAAGGACTATGGGAGTCGCTAACATCTACGATGCATTGCCTGGATTCACCGCCTATAGGAGGATGTGCCTTTGTTCCCTTCCCAAATTTCTACGTTTTTTATGACTTGCATTCTCAAAACCCGTTCACAAGCCGTTTGTGTGTTAGTCCGCCAAAGGTCGCATAGCGCGATGAGTGCTAAGAAATGTCACGCGTGCGCGATGAGCAATTTGATATGAAATAGGATTTTTGCCAATATTGTTTATATTGATACCTAATCAAAGAGATCATATTGTGACGTCACTGAATAGAAATCATAACTACCCTCTTTTGATTATAGACCTTATTTAGCTCTCCGGCGATCAAACATCCAGAAGGTAGAGTAGGTAGATTGGAAAACTTTCATTTGACACCATTTGGCATGAAGCATTATTCAGGACTCTGCTGACAGTTTTCTATTACGTTTTTGATGATTGATACTCTGCGTCACAATTGAATCCAAGCAAATTTTGGATGCAAACGTTCCTCATATAATAGATATGCACATAAAAACCATTTACTTTGGAGAACTTCACTCTTGACGCGTGTTTTCCACGAAAGAGACCTAAGCGAAATTCTGGGTGAAGGAGTATTGTGCTTAAAATGTTTCTGTGAAGGAGTATTGTGCTTAAAATGTTTCTATGTTCTTCATGAGTGAGCGATTGTAATATAATGGACGCGCTGGCCCGCATAGCCCAATCGGTGAAAAATACAGTTGCATCACTACAAAATCCAACCATATGCCCCTTGTCTACTGCTGTACTGCTGCACACATGTTAACCATGAAACGGTTACCTTTGATTATTTGACATTGAACTGGGAACGCTTCTGCAACAAACATGTCGGACGGAAATTCGATATGGAATTCATTAGCTGCTCGATCTTTCGCTTCCGTCAAAACTTCAGCAAGAATTTTGCAACTCTAAACCAATACTGCTAGCCAAGCAAAAGGAACTAAACCACTGTTAAGATTGAAATACATCAACATCCCACCTTCAGCTGCTGGAAATTCAGCTGAGTTATAGCCTCGTCAACATTTGTTTGCCAAACTAGCTGACACGCTTGCCACATTCGCTTTGGAGAGAAATGCACATGAAAAAAATGAAGGTTTTCTCTTTTCGGATCATTACAAAGACCATCTTGAAAAAAGTGCAAAACCGAACGGCAACTAGTTCATGAAAGGTACAAATAATTCTTAGATCGGGCGACACTGATTACATGGATCTTTAGCAACTACTCAAATTCCGCCATAAACAGAAAAGCCCGTCTAGGATCGTAAGCTTCAGTTCAACCAAGGTAAAGATTAACCAACCCATTACCTACATAAAGATAATTCAGTCAACATGGGTCTTCGGATTGAATAAAANAAAAGAAAGCTTGAGTCAAATGGTGTTGCATCAATAGGATTTCACGTAAGAAATTTTAAAGACTAGAGGATTGTGACCTCACTGTTCTACATTGAACCGTAATGCCTTTTTAAAAAAAGAAATTTGCTAGTAGTCTGAGCATGTCGTCAAGAGTGAAAGCTGAATAACATGAGGTTTTATTCTAAAAAGCCAAAAATTCTCAACTTACTGATTCCCTGCAGTGAAACACTTCCCTAGACTTTGGTAATCCTATTTCCGGTACAACATAATGAGGTGGCCAAACAACCTAAACCACAGCAATCAAAGTTCGAGAAAAAACGAAGTGAATTGTTCGGTGTGACATACTTTATTATAATATTCCCATTTCTCAGGCGTTACCCCATAATTCTTCAAAGGATTGGGGTAGTCCGCGTCCTTACTCGGTTTTTTGTCCAGATCCCACTCTGGCGCATAGTAAACCTGAAGTTGAATTATTGTGCAGAACTGAACTGAGATTGAGCTTAACACTTCGACCAACCTTCGACGACAACACTTCGTCTCGTTGAAGTTTGGGCTTCCTCAACTGTAGCGGGTCATTCCGAACCTTTATGAATAAAATGTTACAAAACATATTAAATACAATACTTGAATGCCATAAGAAAACGTTGCAACCAAGCTGCAGAGTTAAGAAGAGGTACAGTGCATTCCCATTATTGGAACTGATAATGAGTAGGTACTCATAGACTACAACGCCAAAGTGCTGCCCTTCACAATCGCTGTGAAGTTTCTTAAGAAAGCAAACTAATGAGATGTCGTCTACATCTTGTCCTCCTCATTCAATCTTCATACTCAGTAGCACATCTTTCATAATTAGATCCCTTACAAATGCGAAATTTATAACATAAAACACGGCCTAGAAGCACATGCCGCTGTTCTGACCTCTGAGGGTAGAACTCGGGCATTTGCATAAACTGTTATGAACGCCGAGCAAAAAGAATTGTCGAAAAATCGAAAAATGAGAGCAGTTCAGCAGCACAGAATAAGGTGCACTATGCAATAAAATACAACGAATCAAACCTTCCTTGATTCTGATGCAGTAGATGTGGACGCAAGACCATCCGCTATTTGTGGGACAGACTTTTGTAAGGTCGAATGTACCCAACGGGGCGACAGAAATCGCAAGCCCCGAGCGAGCATCTGAAAATTCTCCATCCGTNCAGACAGAACGAGCAGTATAAACCAATGTGGTATTCTTGGCGTAGGCAAGAAAGTCTTGAACGTCCGCCGGTGATTGTGTGGTACAGTAAGCCGAGCTGTCTCTGGGGCGCACTATTTGCAAGTTTGTATTGAAGCAGAGGGGTGAGAACCTTTAAGTTGGTACTCCTTCACTTTAGGACAACTAGCAAAAACAGTGCAAGAGAATCACGATGGAACTCCCAGAATCCATTACCTATAGCCGAGGTTGAGTTCCTAGCAAAATATCATGCCGTCAAAGACAATATGAAAGCATGGCATTTATGTCTGAGTATATAATCCATTTCTTCCATTATTGATCAGACCTGCTGTCTCTTATTAGAATCGAATCTTTCGAAACTCGCTTTCTTGTCAGTAAAAATTGTCGTAGCAGTTATCATCATAGCTACCAAGGTGAGTTCCTTTTAGGTATTATTCACCATCGCTTGTTTAAAATTATGTAAGTTTTACTTTTATTTACCTTACATTTTACAAAACATCCACGACACAAATTCATTGAACTGGGCACAATTAACTCGAATTGAAGTCAAACCGAATACAACACTGCTAATAAAGCCAAAAGTGGATGACTTATCCACAACCTTTCCAAACTTTCGCTTCCACAAAAACAACGTAGCCTTCAAGGACCTCCATCAAAATTACGATCGCACTCAGTCCGAGAGATCAACGACATCGTCGCTCAGTGATAAGAATTGCCAGCAAAGTTCAAGAAGCTGGAAAAAGAGCGCCTATTAGGTTGATGCATAAGTTTTTCCCCCGTGTTCAATCATTTCGTTTGGATGGATGTGGATGTTGGTATATCGTCATGACGTGTGCGTGACGTGTGCACGATACTCTTTCTCACAGTAGGTAACACCCACCCTGCATATGCCCACGACAATGCCGCACAATCACCATTGCGACAGAATGCACCTGCGTCACAGTCTGGTTTTGCTTCACGATTTCGGCTGAAATGCAAAGGAAGCCCATAACAAGCTAGTGGAAACATACGGCGAGGACGTCGTCTCTTTCCACGCATGCAAGACTTGGTTCGTCAAATTGAAGGAAGGAGATTTTTCCCTCGAAGATGCTCCGAGGTCGAGTCGGCCGATGGAGTTGGATTTGGAAGTACTACGTTCCACCGTTGAGGAGGACCCGTCCCCAACCACCAGGGAAATGGCGACCATGCTNGCTATAATCAATTGTAGATTGTACGTGGATGGAACAGCTCGGCAAGGTAACAAAGCTTGGTCAATGGGTTCAACATGAACTGTCCGCTTATGACCTCTCGAGGAGGATGGTCACCTGCACTGCTCTCCTCATTTTCCAAAAGAAGTCCCACATTCTCAACTCGATGAACACTGGAGATGAGGTGTGACTCTTCTATGATAACACTAAGGAAAAGCGGCAGTGGGTCGAGAGAAGAGAACAACCAGAAGTCGCCCCGAAGGCCGACCCTTCCTCAGGAAGGTTCTCCTGTCCTGTTGGTGGAGCTGAAGAGGCATAGGGCATTGGGGCTGCTGGAGAGGAGAAAGACGATTGACACTTCTACATACGTTCCAAAAACAAAACAACCCAACAACATTTCACGGGGAGCGAGCACGTGATATCAGAGAACTTCGAGACTCAATAGTCTCGAGCGGTAAGGTTATCTGTAAGCGACAAAGGAAAGGAGAAAATTTTTCGGGAGTCCTAGAGATCTTGATTTTGAACTAAAAGAACACTATCACACACAGAGAGAGAAACATCTCTCCCTAACGCTCAGCTTCTACTTCGGAGTTCCAAACGCAGCTTCGGTGACTGAACCGGATGTGGTTTTTGGTGGCACCGTTAGCAGTATTGAGTTGAACCTTGATAACAACTCGAGTCGCTTTGTTGTTCAGTCCTGTATCTGCTCATAAAGACACACAAATTTTTGGACACAGATGAAACAGCTCCGATCAACCCTACTTATCTGCAAGACCGTCTTATCACAAGCAGCGGGGGCGGTCCTACTAACTGAATGGCATGGTTTCTTGATACCGTTTTGGTGCAAATTCCCAAGTTCTTCATAACCTCCCATCTCACAAACATCCGAATATTTCAGGATCGCCTAGGTGCGCTGCTGCCCACTAATTAGTGCGTTATGGAACTTAATGTTGAATCTCTCTATATAGTTATCAGCAATGGGTCTGCAATGGAAGCAGTAGGCGGGTAACCCAGCACCAAAACTATATCAATAGGCGAGGGCTGCCTACGGGGAAGCTAGAGAGGTATGGGTACATTTACCTAGAACTGGATGGACGAGGCAAATCGCGCGGCGAAATTCGTGGCGATTTGAACGACTTTAGCGCCTATCATTAGGGCCCAAATTCGAAGTAGAGTCGATTATTACAATCATTTGATCATATTAATGTTCTCTACTTCAAGTCTGCGCCCTAATGATAGGTGCCAAAGTCGTCCTAAACGCCACGAATCTCGCCGCGCCATTCAACGCATCCATCTTGTTCTGGGTGAATGTTCCGTCCCCCAAGCTAGAGGGTTACGGTAGGAGCCGAGTGCCCGTGGTGGCTGGACGGAAAATTCACGATGGACAGTGCAAACTGTGCGGCGAAATTCGTGATGATTTAAACGGCTCCGTGCTGAATTTTCGTTTCTGTGCTTTACCGTTCTACTCCTAGCTTTACGACTGCACAGCAAAAAAGCTCCAGGAGTTTTTGATCAGGCTACGTGCTTGCAAGTATAAGTAAACGTGACTTCTTTGACAACAGTTAGGTAAAATCCAATTGGAAACTCTAGCCGACCAACTAAAGCAAGTCCTCAAACCCATTCAGTAGTCACCCAGTTTTTGGATATGAATAAAAGCAAGCGTAGAGTTACGGTAGTTGCTGTTAGTATGCAATTGCAGACTGCTCCAGGTGTGGAAATGAGCAGCACCCTGAACGACGTTGTTGTTTGAGGTAAATATGGCGAATTCAACGATGGAGGCCACGCAAGCGAGAGTAAGAGCGGCTGTTGATGGCATGATCGACGATTTGGATCGGACGCACTTACGTAACATGCAGAAGGAAATGTTTTTGTGTTCCGCAAGGTTGGTTATTTTCTCCATTTCGTCACTTAACATACTGTCTCCGTTTGCTCGCGAATTCGTGCGAGAGATTATCATTTTCCGCATTCCAACTTGTAGTCTGGTACTAATGTGGGAGGTGGTAAGACTGCTTTGCTGTAGCCTTGTAAATGGAAATTTCGATGAATGGTAGGACTTTGAGAATAATTGTTGTAGCCATGACGTCATTTCCATGAATAAGGTAATCATTTACGACTGGTTAGGGAACCCATATAGCCTATACCAGCCATACCTTTGCTACACTAAAAACTGAAAAACAGAAGGAAGAGCTGGAAAAATTCGAAATTATTCACCAGTAGTAACTTCAGGCTTTTTTTGAAGACTTACTCATAGAGGGTAAATGTGGGGTATGATAGCGTTCAGAGTAGTGTTGATCAAATAGAAACTGTAACGCTCGGGCTGCTGCTATATGAAAATGATAGTATTAATGAAATTAGCGCAGGTTCGACCTTCACTTTGTATAGGATGCGATATCTCGAGTAGCTTTTCCATGGCTTGTTTTAACACGTTGACGACGAGAGCGTTTTTCGTTTGCGCGCTCACGGGACGAAACTGTTTGAAGGCGCTGACTAATCGTCGGTCACCATTGACGGACATCGTCCCACGGGACAGACACCATATTTAGTTTACTGTACTCATAAGTAATAAGCTTCTATTTGTGTAAAACAANTAAAAACTCCTGGAAACAAAAGAAAAACTTGTATTCTGTCAAGATTAGGGTGAATTCTCCAAAATCATGGGCTTTGTAGACCATTTAGGCGTATGAGGCTTTGAATCGTGAACATTCATAGAAGGCACTATTTATACGATTGGCGGGAACAAGATTAGAGGTAAGGCGCCAATTGTTGGAATTTGTTCAAATTAGTCATGGACAACAATAATCCCGTGTACTCCTGGAGTCCCAAAACTGATATCCAATATTTCCACAAAAACCTCGGAATAAGAACGATCATGGGTCGACGCAAAAGTTAGTGAGTTAATAAATAAATGTAAAATTTGAAAGTTGACCGACATAGTCGCCAACGTGTTAAGTAGCCACCCTAAGTCAAACGTTAACGAGTTAGGCTTGGTCTTGCAGTAAGATCGAGTAAAAGGGTGAATTTATTCGAAATTTCACTTCGCTCAGTACTGATTCCTTCCTCTATCTTGATTGGAATCATTCACTTTCAGATGCTGTGATCACAAGGACAGCACACGTGACATCGTTGAAAGCTGCGTAGAGAAATGTAACACTGGTATAAAAAAGGCTCACAGGACTCTGGAAACAGAGCTAGGAACACTACAGGTACGATATTTATTTCATTATAGAGATAATGTACCTATATGGTGATTTTTGCCATCCTCGTATCTTCTCTTTAGAACTTCTTTTGTGAAACTTTCGTAGTTCTTACATTTCAGCGATCGATTAAAGATGCTCTTACATATCAGAAAAATCATTTGCTATGTATTGTGTTGCTTAGTTGGTTGTCTAGCTTTATCCATTCCTATTAAGGACCAGCTTTCGCGCTGCGCAATGACTTGTCATGACAAACTACTTCAAAAATTCGGGCCCGATGTGAACAAATATACAGAAGATCAGGTGATTAAAATAAACTTCTTTGGAAACGCTATCATATAGTACTGTGACTGATAAAATCATTCTCCAGATGGTGCAATTTAATACGCAGTTGGACAAATGTGTCGCCGTATGTGCTGATGATCATATAAAATTGATTCCTAAAATCAAAGAGAGGTTTGCAAAGTCGCTTTGAAAAACGTCCTTCTGCTCATGGAGAAAACACTCGTTTGACTAACTAGTAGTTGAATATCGCCCGAATTACCTCGTACTGGAAGCTTTCCAGTCATTAGGTTATATAATATTTATGTATGGTTAGGAATGATTTTGTGTGACTGTTTTATTTTGTAGATTGATCACGTTATAAATTGTTATTTGTTGTTTCTCTTAATATGTTGATAAAAGATGAGTCCGCGTTTCGAATCAATATCTGCGTTGACATGGTTTTCGCCATTGATGCTTACAACCAAGTGGTGCTCGTTGCGCACTTACTACTCGTTTTTTTCCTCAGCGATGCTACGATGACTGGATTCCTACCTTTACTTCTGCTATCGCTGACGCCCAGTTGCCTGAGCATTGGTAGGCTATTATTAGTTCTACGGGTTTTTTTGTGTTATGCTGAAGAATTTTGGTATTGTAGGTAAGAAGGTGCCCGTGCAATTCGGTAGGGTATGTGGCTTCGGAGATTTCAATGGCGATCGAAACACAGACGTTCTTGTACAACGAGGAACGAATTTAACAATCCTACTACAGGATGACGAATTGCTGAATGTGGTTAGTTGCTAATGTCTCTTGTTATATAATCTAATGTCCACAGCGATCGCTCGCTAACTCAATCTTCATTAAGCTTGAGGAAGGTGTTTTTACAAACTCGACTTCGTTCAGTGTTGGTGACGACATAGTTGAGTGTTCACTTGGAGATTTCAATGGTGACACAAAGCTGGATGTTTTGGTATGTCTATTAGTTTCGGTTAAATGAAAGTTATATTTGAGATTAGATTTTGTTAGATTTGAGAGAAATTTTCTCAAATTTTTACGTATTTCTCACTCCCAAAAATGTTGCTTCTTATAACAGTGTATTTTAAGGGCGGGTCCAATCGATAGCAACAAGCAAAAGGGAGGATAAATTTTTGAACCTCTGCATACTCAATTCCCCACTTTCCCGCTTCTTTCCTCCGCCCTCCCACACACATGTTTGATTATAGGCACTCGGGCATTTCTATGTCAGATTCACCAATATATTATTAGGTTGATGCATAATTATTGCGGATTTTTTCGCGGCTTTTTTCTCCCGATAGGATTTGGATATTGAGTTCGGGTTTTTTCTAGAAATGATCTGCTTGATTTCCTCTTCAAGAATATACTCGAA